CAGCCAAACTAGCCCTACCTGTTAAATTCCAAAACGTGGTGGGAGCCAGAGATTGCCCAACGCCTGAATACTTGAGTTCAGTCCCTAGTAACTGTTGTAGAAGGGGAGAATTAACTACTGCAAGTAGAGCCCTGGCCTTTCCCTAGCCCTGCCTGATGCACCACACCTATGAACCAGAAAACACACACACACTCACTCACAAGATCTAATATATCTGAGCATGGTGGTACATGTCTACAATAAGCACACTCAAGAGGCTGACAGGGAGTTGTGAGTTTCTGGCCAAGACTCAGGCTATACAGCCAGACACCCTATAAATAAGATTATATGATACATAAGATTTAGGGATTGGTATATATTTAGCATAATTATCTGGAGATTGAATCAGGGTGTGTCATGTAACAATAACTTATTCTTTTAATCGCTCAATATATTTCATGGTATGGATGTACCACAATTTAACCATCACTTCCTGAAAGACATATGGGGAGCTATTAATCTTAAGCTATTGCTTTATGGATGCCAGAAGCAAGTATGCATAGGTTTTTGTGTCAAGGTACATCTGAAAAATTTTAGGAAAAACGTTCACATGAAAGTTTGTTCATTTAGCTTTTTAAGAAACTGCCAAACTTTTTCCAGAATGGCTCTACCATTTTTGACCCCTACTAATAATAAATAAATGATTTTCTGTATATCAGTAACAGTGGCATTTTGTGCCATTTTCCCACATTTTAGACACTCTGCTAATGACCTCTGTGATCTCAGTTTATATTTCTAATGTCTAATGAGGTTGAAAATTTTGTATGTATTGTTCAGTAATGATTTTTTAAATATATTTTCTAGTTTGGATTGGTTTGATTTTATTTTGTTTTTTTATTATTTCTTTCTGTTCCTTAAAATTACATATTCTTTGTAATTCCATATATGAATACAGTGTATGTAGCTCATACCCAACTCACTCCACTTTCCAACTCATCCTAGATGGCTGCCTTCATATTGTCGTCCTCCCAAGTTCATTTCTTCTTCCTTCTCCTTTTCCTCCTCATCCTACTTTTTATTTTTCTTCTTTGTCTTCAAAATCAACTGAGAGTACAACTAGTGCTGTTCACGTACACACGGATGAAGGGTCAGCTGCTGGAGCATGGACAACCTGCTCTGGAGCCCTGCTGCTGGAGCAAACTGCTGGAGGCCTCACCACTAACTGAGGTGCTTCTGGCAGGTGAGAGCTGCTGGGAGTGGGGAAGTCCGGAGCTTTTCTCTGGTAACTTTAGGGAAGGCCCAGGCCAGCTACCATTTCTCTGCTTGAATTGTGTTCTGTAAGTACTCTGTCAAACCCTGTGTCTTAAAGTCTTCGTTAGCCATTGTTTAAATTTTTTTTTGAATTTTATTTTTTTCTTATCAGTTACATTTTATTAACTCTGTATCCCAGCCGTGTCCCGATTCCTCATTCCCTCCCAGTCCCTCCCTCCCTCCCTCATCTCCACTCTGCCCCTTGCCAAGTCCACTGCTAGGGAAGGACCTCCTCCCCTTTCATCTGATCCTGTTTTATCAGGTATCTTCAGGACTGGCTGCAAAGCTCTCCTCTGTGGCCTAACAGGACTGCTCCTCCCTTGGGGAGTGGGGAGGCTAAAGAGCCAGTCATTGAGTTCCTGTTAGAAATAGTCCTTGTTCCCCTCACTATGGGAAGCCAATTGGTTACTGAGCTACCACAGGCTAATTGTTTAAATTTTACAGAAGTCCACTGATTGACTTTTATCTTTTGTACAGCA